GACATTAAACTTTTACAAAGGATTTTACATGGAAATATAAATATCCATGTCAAATTTGGCAAATTTTTTGATGAATTTAAAATTTGGGTAAAAAATGTGATGGTACCCCTAGAGCTCGGACCAAATCTAAAAAAATTGTAATTTAGACATTTTGACAAGTCTTTTTGACATTAAATTTTTACAAAGGATTTTACATGCAAATATAAATATCCATGTCTAATTTGGAAAATTTTTTGATGAATTTAAAATTTGGCTTAAAAATGTGATGGTACCCCTAGAGCTCAGACCAAAACCAAAAAAAATTGTAATTTAGACATTACTGACAAGTCTTTTTGACTTTAAACTTTTACAAAGGATTTTACATGCCAATATAAATATCCATGTTAAATTTGGCAAATTTTTTGATGAATTCAAAATTTGGCTTAAAAATGTGATGGTACCCTAGATCTCGGACCAAAACTAAAAAAATTGTAATTTAGACATTACTGACAAGTCTTTTTGACATTAAACTTTTACAAAGGATTTTACATTCAAATATAAATTGACATGTCAAATTTGGCAAATTGTTTGATGAATTTAATATTTGGCTTAAAAATGTGATGGTACCCCTAGATCTCGAACCAGAACTAAAAAAATTGTTATTTAGACATTACTGACTAGTCTTTTTGACATTAAACTTTTACAAAGTATTTTACATGCAAAAATAAAAATCCATGTCAAATTTGGCAAATTTTTTGATAAATTTAAAATTTGGCTAAAAATGTGATGGTACCCCTAGAGCTTGAGGCCAAATTAAAAAAATTATAAGTTAGACATTAATGACAAGTTTTTTCGAAATAAAACTTTTAAAAAGGATTTTCATTCAAATATAAATATCCATGTCAAATTTGGCAAATTTTTTGATCAATTTAAAATTTGGCCAGAAAATGTGATGTTAGCCCTAGAGCTTGAAGCCAAAACTAAAACAATTATATTTTAGACATTACTGACAAGTCGTTTTGATATGAAACTTTTATAAAGGATTTTACATG